GCCCTCTTTAAATATTTGAAGGGATGTCATATTGAGAAGGGAGCTAGCATGTTTTCTGCTGCTCCAGAGAATAGTACATGAAGCAATGGATGCAAGCTACAGGGAAAAAGCTTCCAGCTAGTGGCGTCCCGGGTGTGTGTGTGTGTGCAGGGGGTGCGCATTGCACTGGGTGACACACCAGAAGGGGAGGTAACACCCATTTGGCCCCTCACCCCCCCAAGTGCTGCCCAGGCCTGCATGGGTGCTTCTCAAGCCCTCGCAGGTGCCCCTTAGGCCCATGCAGCTGTGGCTCCAGCCCGTGTGGGCACCGCTTCAGCCTCGTGGGCACCGTTTCAGCCTGTGCGCATGTGTCTCCGGCCATGCAGCCCCATTTCAACCTGCACAGATGCCCCTCCAGCCGCGTGGCCACACCTCAGGCCCATGCAGCTGCTCCCATTCACCCACACATCCGGAAGTCCCAATCCAGAGGTACCACCTCCCTCCCGCACAGGGTGACCCCCCATTGCAGGATTGCCACTGCTTCCAGCTCAACTTTAGGAAGGACCTCCAGACCATAAGAGCTGTTCAACAGTGGAAGGCACTCCCTTGGAGTGTGATGGAGTTTTCTTCTTTGGAGGTTTTTAACCAGAGGCTGGATGGCTATCTGCTTTGATTTGATGGCCGAATGGGGTTGGACTGGATGGCCCTTGAGGTCTCTTCCAGCTTAATGATTCTATGATTCTAGATATCTGGTGAGGCAGGTTTAGCTGCTCTTCTCTCTGTTTTGCTGTTCATAGATGCTCAGAAAGGGACTCTGGAAGCATCTGCTATTTATCCTGCTTCTTATAGGCAGGCACACATGATGGGCTAAAGTAGAATCCTATTCTTTTCCGGTTCAAGTTTTATTGCATTGTTTGCCGCAGACACACTGCTGCAACCCAACATCAAAGTCTGTGTTTCTCCAACTCTCCTTCACCATCCTCCGAAAATCAATGGTGTTTTTAAAAAGCATCAGGCTAGACCAGGGGTCGGCAACCTACGGCCCACGGGCCGGATTCGGCCCTGAGAGGCCTTGTTACCGGCCCCGTTTTGTTCCTGCCGCCGCCGCTGCGGCACTGCCGCCGCTGCGGGGTTTTTTTGCCGGGCTTCTCCGGCAACACAAAATGGCTGCGGGGTTGCTCTCGGCAAGCTCCGCCCCCTGTGCTGCGCGCCATCCCTCCTGGGAGGCAAAGCAAACTACAGAAGCCAGCCAGGATCCTCTTCTGAAGCGTTTCCTTCGCCTCCTTGGCTGCCTCTCCTCACTCTTTTTCCCAAGGGAGGCAGCCAAGGAGGCGAAGGAAACGTTTCAGAAGAGGATCCTGGCTGGCAGGGCGGTCAGCTCGCTGTCCTGAAGCCACTCTCCTTCACTTCCACGGGTGTCTTCAGCCCTCCCTTGGGAAGAAGAGGG